TTGAACCCAGGAGGCGAGGCTGCAGTGAGCCGAGATTGTGCCATTGCAATCTGGGCAACAGAGTGAGCCTCTGTCTCAAAAAAAAAAAAAAAAAAAAGAGGCAGGGGGGTGGACAACAACACACACACACACACACACACACACACACACAAGACCATTAGCATCAAAAAAAAAGAGAGAAAGAGAAATACTTAGGTATAAATGTAACAAAATATGTGCAAGATCTATATGAGGAAAACAAAAGCCAAATGAAAGGAATCAAAGAAAATTGAAATAAACAGATATTCCACATTCACAAGTAGAAAGACTCTACACTGTCAAGATACCAATTGTTCCCTAGATTCAATGTAATCCCAATCAAAATCCTTGCAAGTTATTTTGTAGATACTGACAAACTAAAGTTTGTTTCCATATATTCTAAAGTTATGGAAAAGCAAAAGACCCAGAATGGCCAGCACAATATTAAAGAACAACAAAGTCACAGGACTGACATTACCAACTTCAAGATTTACTATAAAAACAGGACTCAAAACAATATGGTATTGGTAAAAGAATAGACAAATAGATCGCTGAAACAGAAGAGAGGGCCCAGAAATAGACCCACACAAATACAGTCAACTGATCTTGTGACAGTGGAGCAAGGGCAATTCATTGGAGCAAAGATAAGTCTTGTCAAAACCCACAGAGCTACACACAAAGTTGAAAAGTTCAGAATGAGGAAACTATACAATACAAAGAGTGAATTCTAACGTAAACTATGTATCAACTTTAGTTAATAACATATCAATATTAGTTCATCAATTGTAACAAATGTACCACACTAATGCTAAAAACTGGACGTTAGAAACAGGAAACGGTGTTGGTGGAGGTAGAGGTAGCATATGAAAGCACTCTACTTTTTGCTCGATTTTTCTGTGAATCTAAAATTGTTCTAAAAATTAAAGTCTATTTTAAAAGTTGTAGTAAGGTATATATTAGTAATTCTCACACTGTGTGTGACAGCAAACTCTAGTAACAATTTAAAATATCTACCAATTAGAGACTCATTAAAGATACACTCTTTTTCTTATAAAAAGAAAAAAGGTAGAAAGTCATACTTCCTGTTTTCCAAACTGACTATAAAGCAACAGCAATCAAAACAGTGTGGTACTGCTATCACAGTAATCTTATTGACCAGCAGAGAGTCCAGAAATAAACCCAAGTCTATAGTCAACTGATTTTCAACAAGGATGCCAAGATAATTCAATAAGTAAAGAATAGTCTTTTCAACAAATAGTACTTAGGACAACTGGATAGCCACATGCAAAAGAAAGAAGTTGGACCCTTACTTCATGCCATATACAAAAATTAACTCAAAATGTATCAAAAACCCAAATGTAAGAGCGAAGTCTATAAAAATATTGTGAAAACATGGGAGTAAATCTTCATAATCTCAGTTTTGGCAACACACCAAAAGCATGAATAACTAAGGAAAAAATTAATTAGACTTGATAGAAATTTTAAAACTTTTGTGCTTCAAAAGGACACTGTCAAGAAAGTGATAAGATAACCCACAACATGAGATAAAATATTTACATATCACATATCTGAATCTGGGACCTGTATCCAGAATATATAAAGAACCCTTACAACTAAGTAATAAAAAGACAACCCAACTGAAAAATGAGCCAAGCATCTAAACAGACATTTCTCCAAAGTAGATATACAAATGGCCCACAAGCACATGAAAAAGATGCTTGACATTATCAGCCATCAGGAAATACAAATAGATACCACAGTGAGATATCACTGCACACTTAGGTGGCTAGAATCAAAAAGTCAGGTCATAACAAATGTTGGCAAAGATGTGGAGAAATCAGAACCCTCATTCACTGTTAGTGGGAATAGCAAATTGTGTAGCCACTTTGGAAAACAGTCTGGCAGTTCCTCAAATGGTTAATCACAGAGTTAACATATGACTCAGCAATTTCACACCCAAGTATCTAACAGCAAGACAAATGAAAACATATACCCACACAACTTGTATCACAACTATTATTGGCAATATTTATAATAACCAAAAGGTGGAAACAACCCAAAAGTTCATGAACTGATGAGTGCATAAATAAAATGTGGTCTTATCCACATAATAGAAAATCATTCAACCATAAAAAGGAATGAAGTAGTGATAAATTCCACAACATGGATGAACCCTGAACACATTACAGTACGTGAAAGAAGCCGGTCATGAAAAACATACATGATTCCATTTACATGAAATTTCTATGACAGGCAAATCCAGGTATCAGTGGTTACTTAGGGCTAGGTAGATGGGTGGATAGAGAGGTGATGGCCAAAGGATATGAGGTTTCTTTTTGAAGCAATGGGTACAAATATCTGAATATACTATAAACCACTGAATTTTATTGCTTAAACATATGAATTGTATGCTATATAAACTATATCTCACTAAAAAAAGAAACAAACCTACACATATCAGTCATCTTATTATGACAAAAGTAAACCTGGAGAGCACTGGGGGAAATGTTTTCAACAAATGGAGCTGGTTCAATTAAATATCTATGGAAAGAAAAAAATAAATCCTGTTCCCTACTTTATGCCTTACCCAAAAATCAACTCCAGATGGACTGGGTATCTAACTATAAGAAGTTAAACAATAAAGTTTCCAGGAGATATCATATAAAGACATTTTCGTGACCTTGAGTAGGCAAAAACTTCTTAACCAGGACACAGAAAAGCACTAGCCATACAGGGAAAGACTGATGAATTGAGCTACATCAAAATTTAGAGCACCTCTTCATCAAGACACCATTAAAAAGTAAAATGGCATGCGACAGAGTGGGGACAAAATGGCTGTGATGAAAATATACATATGAGACAACAACCTCATGTTCAGAATACATATAGAACTCCTGTAGAAGGAAAGAAAATAGACTTGAACAGGCACTTCTCCAAGAAAAGATGTCCAGATGGTCAAATGGATATGAAAAGGTATTTAACCACATTAGTCAGCAAGAAAATACAAATTAAAACCACAGAATATCTAAAATTTAGAGTGACAAAAACAAGTGTTGGTGAGGATTTGGGATAACAGATATTAAGAGTGTAAAGTGGAATAATAAACTTACTTCAAGAGTTCATAGTTCTTCTCATTTAACCTCACGGCATTCTCTCTCCAAAATTTCTCAGATTTGTGCACAGGAATGCCATATACAAAAATTAACTCAAAATGTATCAAAAACCCAAATGTAAGAGCGAAGTCTATAAAAATATTGTGAAAACATGGGAGTAAATCTTCATAATCTCAGTTTTGGCAACACACCAAAAGCATGAATAACTAAGGAAAAAATTAATTAGACTTGATAGAAATTTTAAAACTTTTGTGCTTCAAAAGGACACTGTCAAGAAAGTGATAAGATAACCCACAACATGAGATAAAATATTTACAAATCACATATCTGAATCTGGGACCTGTATCCAGAATATATAAAGAACCCTTACAACTAAGTAATAAAAAGACAACCCAACTGAAAAATGAGCCAAGCATCTAAACAGACATTTCTCCAAAGTAGATATACAAATGGCCCACAAGCACATGAAAAAGATGCTTGACATTATCAGCCATCAGGAAATACAAATAGATACCACAGTGAGATATCACTGCACACTTAGGTGGCTAGAATCAAAAAGTCAGGTCATAACAAATGTTGGCAAAGATGTGGAGAAATCAGAACCCTCATTCACTGTTAGTGGGAATAGCAAATTGTGTAGCCACTTTGGAAAACAGTCTGGCAGTTCCTCAAATGGTTAATCACAGAGTTAACATATGACTCAGCAATTTCACACCCAAGTATCTAACAGCAAGACAAATGAAAACATATACCCACACAACTTGTATCACAACTATTATTGGCAATATTTATAATAACCAAAAGGTGGAAACAACCCAAAAGTTCATGAACTGATGAGTGCATAAATAAAATGTGGTCTTATCCACATAATAGAAAATCATTCAACCATAAAAAGGAATGAAGTAGTGATAAATTCCACAACATGGATGAACCCTGAACACATTACAGTACGTGAAAGAAGCCGGTCATGAAAAACATACATGATTCCATTTACATGAAATTTCTATGACAGGCAAATCCAGGTATCAGTGGTTACTTAGGGCTAGGTAGATGGGTGGATAGAGAGGTGATGGCCAAAGGATATGAGGTTTCTTTTTGAAGCAATGGGTACAAATATCTGAATATACTATAAACCACTGAATTTTATTGCTTAAACATATGAATTGTATGCTATATAAACTATATCTCACTAAAAAAAGAAACAAACCTACACATATCAGTCATCTTATTATGACAAAAGTAAACCTGGAGAGCACTGGGGGAAATGTTTTCAACAAATGGAGCTGGTTCAATTAAATATCTATGGAAAGAAAAAAATAAATCCTGTTCCCTACTTTATGCCTTACCCAAAAATCAACTCCAGATGGACTGGGTATCTAACTATAAGAAGTTAAACAATAAAGTTTCCAGGAGATATCATATAAAGACATTTTCGTGACCTTGAGTAGGCAAAAACTTCTTAACCAGGACACAGAAAAGCACTAGCCATACAGGGAAAGACTGATGAATTGAGCTACATCAAAATTTAGAGCACCTCTTCATCAAGACACCATTAAAAAGTAAAATGGCATGCGACAGAGTGGGGACAAAATGGCTGTGATGAAAATATACATATGAGACAACAACCTCATGTTCAGAATACATATAGAACTCCTGTAGAAGGAAAGAAAATAGACTTGAACAGGCACTTCTCCAAGAAAAGATGTCCAGATGGTCAAATGGATATGAAAAGGTATTTAACCACATTAGTCAGCAAGAAAATACAAATTAAAACCACAGAATATCTAAAATTTAGAGTGACAAAAACAAGTGTTGGTGAGGATTTGGGATAACAGATATTAAGAGTGTAAAGTGGAATAAAAAACTTACTTCAAGAGTTCATAGTTCTTCTCATTTAACCTCACGGCATTCTCTCTCCAAAATTTCTCAGATTTGTGCACAGGACTCCATTCCAGCCTTCCAGATTTAAGTTCTGAACTGTATTCATCAAATGAACTAAAAAATGTTTAAAGAATTCAAGGTTTATAAGAATCTGACAGTTACTCCAAAATTAAGCAAAATAAAATGTCTTCACTTATTATTTAATTACAAAAACTGACCATCCTTTGTACATTAACAAACTACCACTAAACGAACTTTAAACAATTTAAATAATCTTTAATAAATCATGTGAAATGTTATTCAGTGTAGTAAGGTCCAACCCTCCTGTCAAATTTGAATGCTGGGTATGAGACATAAAAATCAACACTTGCTTTCAAAATCCTTACTCCAATATATACATGAATGTGTATAAGAAAAAAATTGATAGATCTATCAGAATTTCTACCATGACACTTGAAATACTGTATTTCCCAGACCAATAGGCAAAATAATATGTTACGTAAAAGCATAGTACTTTAACATAATAAACTCCATTATACTATAAATATCATAAACTATAATAATACATCACAAAAACAAAATCACACGTATTGGCACAATATTTTACAATGTGATGACAAAGAGTATAGACAGAAATAATTGAATTAATCCATTACGGACTAAAGACAAAAGCCTCTGTACATATAACAAACTGCAATTCACCTTAATTTAAAAACCATTCACTGGAGAGTAACTTGATTACTCCAAGCTTTACAGTATGAAAATTTTTAATGTGGTTAGCCAGTAGACAAACACACTGTCAGAACATACTTGGACTTTCTCTCAAGTAAAAATTTTAAAAAGATGTAACCATTCAAATACTAATAGTAATTCAATATAACCAAGATGTACTAGATAAATTGATCAGAGGGCACCATTTGAATAAAGCAGTAAAACACTTTTAATGTAGGGCCAGTTAGTACAAGAAGTAAACTAGTATTTTTAATATTCGTATCCTAATCCTATAATAGCAAAAACAGAGACCAGCCTCTTTTAGCTGCGCCCATCACCCTATTAGCTTTATGTAAATAGTATTTTTCAAATTACCAAATTCAAGGTAAAAAATCAGTAATAATTAGCTAAAATGGATTAAATCATTTAGAAAGCTATCACTAATCTTATTTTTTACAAAAACAGGCCTTAAATGATTATTACAGAGAATCAGTCATCAGTTTTTAATAAACATAGTAACAGAATGTATAGCTGTGAAGCCTATTCCTGGCCTGCCTATTATAATCAATGTATCCATATTTGAAATATTTGAAATTCTAGAATAATAAAAATCATTTTTCTTCCTCCACAAGATCCATTACAAACCACTGATACAGATAACACCTCCCACCTCTGGGAAATCTTTGGGCCTTGGGATTATGGCTGCACTGAATCATCTAGTAAATACATTTCTGGAGCACATACTATGCTGAAGGCGTTCGCAGAGCAGACGGAACCTCACAACAAATCCTGCAAGGTTAACATTTTTATTACTGTTTTACCAAAAGAAAAACAGACTTGAAAAACTCAAGAAGCTTGTGCAAGGTCACACATGGAAAAAGTAGCCAAACAATTCCAAGAATCAGCCTCGCTCCAAACCCCAGTCCACCCAAGACAAGTACCTATTTCCAGAGAGTAACCCTTTAAAAAACGTGCCAATGGTATTTTAAAAACAAAGAATACGAGTGTTAATGGAAAAGATCAAGATATTATGTATGAAACAGAAAAAGAACAAGATCCAAAAGAATATGCAGAGCCCCATTTGTGGGTTGTAGGGGGCAGGCAGAGAAGGGCTAGAAGGCTTTTTAGAAGCCAACACAAGAGACCCGAGGGAGAGTGAGGCGAGGCAGTGAAGATGGTGGGAGTGGCATGCAGTTCCTTCCATACTGGCTAATTCTTTCCCTGTATATACATTATTTACATTACTTTTAATATTAAAAAATGAGACAAAAGTCCTTCAAAAAGCAGGAAAACAAATACTTTCTCCATATACAGGCAAACCTCCTCCACTAATTAACAAACTACCGTTGTTGCTTAAAAAGACTCTAAGAGAAGACTCTCAAGGAGCTCCAGGGTGGAGTCACATCCTGAGGGAGTAAAGCTGGTCAGAGTTTAGACAGCAGAAAACAGTGGGAATCTCCCCAAATTAGAAGAGATAACACACAGTTCTGTCCAACTGTTGCCATGTCAGAATAATGTCTTCACAGGAAACAATGTATTTTAGTGAACTCTCTTGATTTGTATAGGTGACAACAAATTCAGGTTTTCTTAAAATGCTATGCAAGTCGAACAAAGTCCAACAGATCCAGCACATGAGAATTAAAAAGAATAACACACCTAAGGTCCTGGACACTCTCTCCAAGTTTTTCCAAAAGAAATTTGATATCTTCGCTGATATCTTCATCATCGTACTTCTGCTGCTCCAAGTTCTCCAACTGTTTCAGAACTTTGCACTGAATCATAGCCAGGGCATATTCTTGGCGAGTTTCTCTTTCAGTTGATTTTTCTAAAAAGTTCTGGGTTAGACAAAGTGATAGTGAGAAACTATATAATTTGTCATGTGATGTTCACAGACCTCTGCACATTCTTTTATAGTCTCTCTCCTCCTCCTATTCTCAAGTTTAACTATCACCTTTAAGTGGATGACTCTATCTCAAATCCTTACTTCGCTCCTGAGTGTCTGTCCCATATCAGAAGCCTACTTCTGATCACTTTTGTATTTCCTGGATTACTAAACATCTTTAATTATTGACCCAGATGAGCCCTACAACACTGAACACGTTTACAATGAAATCCACCAGAATCCTTTCTCATGGCCTTGCTCTGGCTGTGAGCTCTCGTTTGTTGCCCACCTGGAGCACACAGGATACTAAGAAAGAGTGTTTCTTCAAGTTCGCAGTCAAGCCAAGTTCTCCAGTTCCCAGTGTGTCATCATTTTCCCACGTCTGTAATAAAACTGTAAGTGCACAAGGGACAACAATTTTTAAAACTCCCTTGTTTGAACAATTATCAGAAAAGTTTTGCAACATTCAGGCAAATTCCTGAGTTCTCTTCTAGGATTTTCTATTTTTAAGAGTACTTAAAACAGCGAAAGAATCCACAAATTTGTAACAATAAGCTGTCATGGAATTAAGCAATGTTTCTAAATAAGGACTAGGCTAAACTCTTGGAACAAGAAGCAACAAGACAGACCTCTGTTTTCAAAAAAGTTACTTTCACCAAGCTGGTTTAAAAAGCCTGCCAAATTAAAAAACAAACAAACAAACAAAAAACAGTAACAATTAACTCCAATTGTAACAAAATTTGAATTTTTTCTTTTTACAAGTAAGTTCTATCCCTAATAATGAGGCTGAACAAATGCACAAAGTGATTTAGCTTAGCATGCGGAAGTCAGTGAAACCAATGCCCACCAATCTTCCCTTTATGTTTCTACCAGATTTTAAGTACCCTGAGAGTAGTTTGCCTTATTTTTCTTTCTATCACAAGTGCTCGGCTCAGAGTTGATACTTAATAATAAAATATTTGTGAACCTAATATTCCTCCTCAGTGCTTACATCTATAGATATGAGAAATTACTTGCAATCCTCCTTATTATGAATAGATGAGTAGAGTAACAGCAACAGTGTAACTAAATTAATTTGCTTTTAAAATTACTTCAAAACTAAAACATGAACGTCCACTCAGATATGATGGATTTAAGAACCTACTGAACCAACCTCTCTCTGGCAGAAAACAACTATAAAACCTGAACAGACTGAAAAGGCAACTGCTTAAAAAAAACAGTAAATAGAAGCAGACAGACTCTGGTATGAAGTTCATACTCACATACAGTAGGGAAGTCAAGGAACAATACAAGTACATTCCTGTCACTGCAATTTTTATCCTGAAGCTAAGGCACAGTGGCAGAGAAGCCACAGAAAAGCCAAAAATAGTCTTTCTGGCCTGGGGAACCAGAAAAGTGAAGCTGGAAAAACATGAACGCTGAGGGGTAAGGCTGGGGGGAGCCCCAGAAAACAAAGAGCAATAAAGGAGACCCAAATCCTGTCTGAATACAGCTCCAGAATGAACCAGATACTAGAACTAACAAAGACTTCAAAGCAATTATTATAAAAATCCTCAATGAAATAAAATGCTTTCAATACATGAAAAATTTCAAACAAAAAAGGTATAAATTATTTAAAAAGAAACAGAAATCCTAGAAGTAAAACTACAATTTCTGAAATCAAAAAATCAGCTGACGGACTTAAGAACCAAGTGGAGATAAAACAGAAAAAGAGTAAGTGAACTTGAAAATAAGTTAAAATTATCCAAGGAGAAGAATGAAGAGATAAAAAAATTTTTTTAACAAATGAATAGAGACTCAGTAATCGGTTACATATTATCAAATGACCCAAAACATGAGCAACTGGGATACCAAAAGGAGAGGTGGAAGAGAATGGGGCTGATATTTTATTTGAAGAAATAATGGCTGAAAGTTTCCCAAATTCAATGTCAGAGAAGTTTTCAGACACAAGATGTCCAGTGAACACCAAGCCCAAGGAAAGGCATAGCATTGTCAAGCCAACAAACAGTTTAAAGAATATTTTTGTTGCCTATAGAATTCTGAGTTTATAATTCACAAACAGACAAAACTAAAATATAAGAACCAAAGTGACCCTGGTAAACTTCAAGACTATTGAAGTTAACAAAGCTTCCAGCTATTAAAGTAGAAAGTATTCATTTCAGAGAGAGAGGACAGTTCAGTTTGAACTGTTATCTTCAGTCAGAAAAACAAAACTACGATTCTGTGATATTTTCATCAGGTTACTTCTGAATTTCTATCATGTTACTGTTTTATCCTTTCATGTAAAACATTCTGAACAAAGTGTATATTTACTGGTTCAATTTTAAATATACTCCAGAGACTCCATTTCCAGGAATGGTCAAGTGGCTTCTATCGGATCAATCCTTCCATAGAAACCAACTATAAAATCTGGATGAAATATAAAAGATTACCTGAAGGAACAAAAGGTAGCAGAAACTAGAATGGAGTCTAGATATGAAAAAAAGAAAGGAATGACACTAGGAAAAATTCTAGTTTTATATATGGCTCTCCTCCTGAAGATAGGCTCCACTCAGAAAAATGCAGGCAAAACTCAGACGGAAACCACAGCCTCAACTGCCTAAGGAGACAGAGGACAGTTCAGAGTGACGATAGCAGCTAGAAAGTGAGAGGAGAAATCAGAGAGAAACATAAAGGAGACCCAAATTCTGCATATGAACTCTGCCCAAATCTCTAGCTGACCAGGGACCTATGCAATGCAAGGACAGACTCCCAGCAGCCCAGCTACATCTAAAAGAACTGAAAAAAGATTTAAGCTGCTTCTCACCACAGGAAGAGAGAGCTTGGAGTTGGAGCCCAGCCAAGTTAACTGCCTGCTAAAACCTCAATGTCCTATGGAGAAACATAACAGAAACCAGTTCTAGGATGTATGATTTACAACATTCAGAATACACTCCCAAATTAATAAGCATATGAAGAAACAGGAAAATGTGACCAACACTCAAGAGAAAAGTCAGAGAAAGACCAACCCTGAGATGAATTAGATATTGGAGTTTGCAGAAAAAGATTTAAAGTAAACATTACGACTATGACCAAAGAAAAAAACGGTACCAATAAAAAAGCAAAAAAAGAAAGTTCAGTGGAGACACAGACACTAAATTCCCAAATGGAAATCCTAGAAATAAAAATATAAATGATTTGAAATTTTAAAATTTACAAATGAGCCTAAAAGTAGACTGGAGATGACAAAGGAGTCAGTGAACATGAAGACACAACAGTAGAAATTATTCAATTTCAGAGATAGATAGAAAAAAATACTGTTTATTCCCTCCCACAAACAAAGTGAACAAAGGCTCGGTGACTTGCAGTGCAATATCAAAAGGTCTAACGTAAGTGGAATTAGAATGCCAGAAGGCAAGGACAATTAAAAAGGTGCAAATGTATACCTGAAAATATAATGGCCAAAATTTTCCATCTTTAGCAAAAGATACAACTCTACAAATCTGTAAGTTCAGTAAATACTAGGAAAGGTAGATACAAATAAAACTAAATCCAGACACATCACAGTCAATCTTCAGAAAACCAAATATAGTAAAATTTTCATAGCAACCAGAAAAAGATAACACATTATATACAGGGAACAAAAATACAAAGGAAAGGTGACTTCTCGTCAGAAATTATGGAGATAATTCTGCTGAGAGAGAGCATTAAAAAAAGAGAGAGAAAAATAAAGGAGAGAGGTCAGAAGAAAGTGGAATGATATCTTGAAAGTACTGAAAGAAAAAAAAAACAGAACTATATCCAGCAAAAATATCCTTCCAGAATAAAGGTAAAATAAAATCATTTTTTATAATAAAACTGAGATAATCAGTCACCAGCAGACGTACGCTGGAAGATATCCAAAAGCAGGGATTGGCTAATGTTTTCTGTGAAAGGCTGAAGAGTAAATATTTTAGGCTTTGCAGTCTGTCACAACTGCACAATTCTACTATTACGGTGCAAAAGCAGTCATTAAAAAACATAAATGAGCAAAGCAGTGTTCCAATAAAGCTTTATTTATAAAAACAGGTGGACCACATTTGGCCCATAGGCTTCCAAAGTTTGCTGATCCCTGGGCTAAAGAAAATTCTGCAGCTAAAGGAAAGTGATACCACAAGCGGAAAGCTGAGTGTCCAGAAAAGAAAAAAGAACTGCAGATATCATATTAATATATAGCTGGATAAATATAAAACACTATTTTTCCCTTTTTACTTCCATAATATACATGAGATTGCTTAAAGCACAGGTTAAAACCCTGTATTGTAGGGCTTATAACATGTAAATACAGTAATATGACAACTGTAGCATGAAAGACTACAAGTGCTCACATTTTCCATAAGCTAGTACAATAGAAAGGATGTGGACTTTGACTCCAGAATCACCTCTAAGAAATAAAATAGTGCAAAAAGAAACAGTTAAAGACCCCAAAGAAATGTTATGATAATTTTTTTAAATTTATTAATATATAACAGATGGACCTATTTGGGGAGTACATGTGACATTTTGATACAATCATATATAATTTATAATTATCAAATCAAGGTAATTGGGATGCCCACCACTTTAAACATTTATCTTTTCTTTATGTTGGGAACATCTAAATTATTATCTTCTAGCTATTCTGAAATATACAGTAGATTACTGTTTACTATCAACCTGCTGAATTGTACATTAGGTCTTATTTCTTCTATATAACTGTATTTTTGTACCCATTAACCAATCTCACTTCATCTCCTCCTATCCCGGTACCCTTCTCAGCCTCCGACAACTGAAGATCATTCAGCCATAGAAAAGAATGAAATCCTCTCATCTGCAGCAACATGGACAGAACTGGAGGTCATTACGGTAAGTAAAATGAAATTTTTAAAGGATGCACTTAACCCAAGAGAAAGCAAAAATGGAAGACAGAAGAACAAAAAAACAGATAAGCAAAGA